TAATTGAAACTCAAATATGTGATGAATCCAAGGTGTTTCAGTGAGTGCTCAAGTGTGCTTGCAAATTTGATTTCATCTTTAGTAAGTAGTAAATTCATATGCTTGCCAAAAAAAAATAAGTGACACATTGGAAGTCAAATGTCGCACAATTTCAATGTTATGTGTAACCTAGAAATGATGAACTTATGGGAGCAGAGAGCAGAATTGTGGCTATTAGGCTTCAATGTGGATCTTTTAACAATGGGGAAATGATTGGTTTAAGGATATAAAACTGCAGTTGGACAAGAGGCATGGACTCTGTGATGTCTTGAGGTCTACTGAGAGCATGATAAATATGGTTGATAACAATATGTTATGCTTTAAAAGTTGTGAGATAATATACTTTAAGTGTTCTCAAAATAAAAATGATGAATATGTTTGATATAACATGTTAATTGGTTTAATTTAGCCATGCCATTGTGAACCTACTGTATTATGTATCATAATTGTGCATGACTTTATGAGCTAAATAAATGAATGGGAAAAAATTGGTGCCAGGTAACACAAGAGTAACAGAATTGTCTTGTTTTCTGGGATTTTGCGTTGAGTTGGCATTGTACAAAAATTAACAGCCATATTGGTCTAGAAATGTTGAACTTAATTTTTTTCCATTGTACAGGGGTAACACACTGTATTAAATATGTAAGGTCTTAACAAAAAAGAAGGGATCTTGAGAGCCCATCCTATGTGAAGGGATGAAATCTCAACAATATGGTCACTTAAAAAGAGACGTGCCCCATGGGGAAGGGCCTAGGCCTGGCCCAGGATGATGTGGTAGGCTTTGGGGAGCCCCTTTTGAGGGCCTTACCCTGCCTGGGGAGTGGAGGGGGGATGGCTAGGGGCAGATGGGCTAGGCTAGGGGGAGGGGAGGGAGAGGGAGAAGGGATTGCCATCTGAAGCAAGTTTGTTCCTAATTTGAACTAATAAGATAAATAAATGTAAAATGCAATATAACTGATATGCTAAGGGTGAAAACAAAATGATGCAAAATGTTTGATGATAACCTCACTAGACATAAAAAGAATGAAAGAAAAATGAGAACAAAGCACAGGGCTATAAATAGAAAACAACAATAAAAATGATCTATATTAATCAAATTCTGTCAATAGTCACCCAAATATCAATGGTCTCAGTGAATTAACTGAAAGATTTCCAGAGAGGTTCTAAAGATGACATTCAATTGTATGTTTTCTACATGGCCTCTCTTTATAACCTTGCTTACTTGATTGAATGATATGTTGGGTTGACTCTTTCAGGTATGTTAGGTGAACACTGTACCCCTAGGATATAAGAAATTATATAAAGAATTAAGGTTAATGTATGGAGAACAATATTCCATGCTAGCACTGACCAGAACAAAACCAGGAATATATGTTTTAATTTCAGACACAGCAATCAATAAAACAAGGAAAATCACCAGGATTAAGTTTAATGAAATGATAAATGGATTAATTTTACAATTAAGACATAACAATCTTTCACATTATGTACCTCACAACAAATCATAAAATGCAAATCAAAGGTACTACACACTATCCTTAAGTTCACATGGACACATTCTCAGTTAGACCACATTCTAGACTATAAAACACAATTTTCAAAAATTAAAAAATAAAAGTATACAGTGTTCTCAGATCACAATGGAATTAAACTCAAAACAGTTACTGTAAAATCACAAAGTATGAGAAGACTAAACATGTTTCCATAACCCATGAACCAAGATGAAATTCAAAAGAAATGCAAAACCATTTTGAAGTGAATAAAAGTACAACCTATCACAGTTTGTGGAATGCACTTAAAGGGCTGTCAACTGAGAAATTTATATCATCAAATGCAAATCAAATAGGAGCATGACATAACTCCAACATCTATTAGAATGGCGACAATCCAGAACATGGCCACACTAAACATTTATAAGCATGAGGACAGGAGCTCTCATCCACTGCTGGTGGACATGCAAAATAGGACAATTACTTCAGAACATAATTTAGCAATTTCTTACAAAACTAAGGCACTTTTCATTCTTATCATATGATTCAGCCATCATGCTGTTTGGCAAAGGGATATAAAATATTTGCCGTCCACACATTTTATAGCAGCTTTATTGATAACTGACAAAACTCAGAAACAGCAACGTCCTTCAGTAGAAGAGCGGACAATAAACATCAGGTAATGGAATATGGTGGCACCACCTGTGTGCTTGGGTCCTGGACTACATAATGGGAACATGGGACCTCACCTCCCCTGCTTCCTGACTTCAGATGCAATGTGACCAGCTGCCTTCTGCTCCTGCCACCATGACTTCCTGCCATCATGGACTGAATCTTGGGACTGTGATCCCAAACAAACTGCTCCTTCTTTAAATTGCGTTTTATTACAGCAACCACAAAGAATCTAATATTTATCTTTAGCCACCGAGAAACTGAAACTGAAAATTATGTTAAGACGCTATTTCATCCCAATTGGATACTTTTTTAAAAATTTTATGTGTATTGGGGTTTTGTCTGAATGTATTTTTATACACCACACATGCCTGCTGCCCAAGAAGGCCAGAATCAGATCCTCTGGAACTGGAGTTACAGATAGTTATGAGCTGGGATTTGAACACAGGTCCTTTGGAAGAGGAATCAGTGCTTGTAACTGCTGAGCCATCTCTGCAGGCCCATAGCTGGACTGGTTATCACCAAGGAAAGAAACAACAAACACCAGCAAGGATGCAGAGAAAAATAAACCCTTAAATAGCGATTTTATAAACTGAAAGTGCTTATCAGCTCTAAGAGTTTAAGGTATAATCTTAAAGGCTGACTTGATAGAAAAGGAAGTCTTCAGTAAGTAGGGATACTTTGACGTAATTGTTGTATTTCTATCCCATTTGTTTACTTCCCTCTTTTTATTGCTCTTAGCTAAGATTTTAAGTAGTGTGTTTGGTGTCATACTTTTTCTTGAAGCTTTTCAGAGTTCAGTTGTCACTGGTTGTCAAACTGCCATAGTTGCCATAGTTATTCATGAAGACAGATATTAATTTTGACATTACCCAATTCATTGTTCTTTTATGACTTGGGAGTATCCTATTCTCTTATGTGATGATCTGCACACTGTTATATTTCCACATAGATGAAGTTGCTATGAAGACTAGTAAACCCTACAATGTAGAAAGGACAGCTGAGGACAGAAGTCAGCAGGCTGAGAACCTAGTAGAAGTATACATATATAGATGTTGTTTAGTTCAACCCCAGGGAAAATTTTATAGTAATTAGTACAAATATACTATAGAGGTCTATATATATATGTATATATATATGTATGTATATATGTATGTATATTCAAATAATAAGAGATAATAACTTTCAGAGGTAGTGATGGGGAGAACATGGGAGGGGCTGAAGGGAAGAAAGGAAAGGGGGAATGATATCGTATTTTTGATTAAAATACATTTTTAAATAAAAAAAAGGACTTTGAAAGCGAGTGAGGAAGTAGTTTGGTTGAAAAAGTCAGTTAGTGAAGGTACTAGAGGAACAGCAAATGTAAAAGTATAGAGGTTTCACATAAATGGACAGGTTGCTAAAAAAGTGGGTGTTTGCTTAAAGAGATCACAACTGCGTTGAACATAGTTGGCTACTGGGGACAAGAAGGGATTCAGATTAGACAATTTTATCAGGGAAATTTCTCTTCAGAAAGAAGGACTTCAACTCACCACTTGGTATTGGATAGCCAATGAAGGGGCTCATTCCTGGAGGAGACTAATTCTTCTTATCTCTGCCCTCATTAATTACATGATGTACCCCTTTGTCTAAGAGTGGGGTCTCATAACACTTCTCTCTTCCAGATTACCATTGTTAAATCTTGAATAGGTAGCCATGTTGTTGAGGCATCCATCATGGGTACAGCTTCTCAGCCCTGAAATAATATGCACAAAATCATTATTAAAATGACTAAGCAGGCTGTGTGTGTGTGTGTGTGTGTGTGTGTTCCAACACTGGAATAAGCTGTGCAGGAAACCTTCATAGTCCATGTTCCTTCTCTGGAGGTCTTTGAATTCTGAGTCACCAGCTCCCATTTCTGGATCCTAGGATGAACAGACATTTCCCACTTAGTATATAGAAAGGACTCTAGAGGACCAGAAAACTACACCTCACACACTTGCACACACAGGAGATGAGATAAGGGAGGGAAGCTATCAGACTCAACTGTAGCTAGCCAACTGGGCAGCCTGTACTTCCCACATTATCATACATCTGGCTTTTTGAAAAAGAAAAGGGCATTTGCTCCTTGTGCTAATGTTGGAGATTTGTTCCTCTTCCTCAGCTTTATAAAGGGAGTGAGTGGTGGACCTTTACTGTACCTCAAGCCACTGTCTATCACCCAACATGAATCTAGTGACAAAAATGGGTCCACTGCTCATGGCGACCTTATCTCTTCTGATCTCCGTGGAGGGTGAGTTTCTACCGTGGTAGTGGAGGGAAGTGTTAGGGGTGCTGATATCTAAACCACTGCCCTCCAGTCACACTCAGGCATTGCACCTCAAATCTGCAGACTGAGTACTGAAGAGAAACAGGACAGCAATTTGAGAACCGCAGTTTCTGAGTTCTTGTTCATAGGTTTCCATTTTCACCGTCTTTTTTTTTTTTTCTTGAAACACTGTTATATTGTATTCTGCACAATACCTCCTCCTTCCCCGTTCTTTTCTTGGGTTACTTCTTCTCCATGTATTTTGCAGGGATCTTTATTCACCTAATTAAACCCAGGTTTTTCAAAGCTTAGCATTATAATCAACGCTTAATATTGCCAATATCAATATCAACCATGGAAAGCCTGCCCTTTTCTGATTGGAAATGGAGGAGAAGTGGATGGGGACAGAGGAGGTAATAATAAATATACTTTTTAATTCAGCAATTCTAGTTACATGAAATTATCTTACAGATACACTCACACAAATGAAATTATGACTTCATTTTATTGCAATGAGTAGTGTTCAATGTTATTTTTGCAAATGATATTAAATACTAATAAATTTAAGGAATTTATTAATTAAAGCATGCTGCAAATGTACAATGGAATATTTTGTTTATGTTATACATTGTTCAAAACAAATCAAAGTGCAGATCATGTGTAGTGTATAAGCCATCTCATTGTATTATAAAAGAGAACTCATTCCATGTCCTCTCCTGATACCAAAGTTCATGAATATTCAAGTCCCCAATATAAAATTTTGCACTATGTTTGCCTCTAACTTATGCACATTTTCCTATATGAGTTCAATTATCATTACTTATAAGTGGACAAGCTCTCCAGTCATTCAAAGGCAATTACATTTGTCACTAGAGATTATTAGCTACATTTGTGAGAGCAGTTTTAGTGGAAGAGGGAGAATAAAATTAACCTATTGCCTACATCTTGATAATCAACTCAAGTCCTTGACTAGAAGAGTCCTACCTTCTCAGCCCAATGGAATGTCTGTTGGATATATATATATATATATATATATATATATATATATATGTCTATACACACATATAAGTTTTATTTCTCTCTAGATTTTTAATCCTGTCTTCAAATACAAGTAGATACTATCCAGATAGTGGAAATAATACCATCATTATTTTAATCCACTCCCAACTCAACAAAGCTAAGCAGGAATACTATAAATGCCAGCAGATAGAGCAAACAAATGGTATAGTCTGTGTGAATACTGAAGCTCTCCTTGTTCCCATGCCCTACAGGAAGAGCATTTGTTCACATCTACTGGTGACAGGAACAAGAGTCTCAGAAGCCTCCTGACCTGAATTTCTCCAGGCTATGGATCTGGTTAGAAAAAAGCAGGCCCCTAATTTAACAATACTTAAGTGTAGATATGGGCTTCTCAAGGCAGAGTCACAACAAACTATTTTTGAGATGGGTATATATAGGAGTCAGTGACTGTCATGCTATTCTCCAAATGTTTTCCAAAGCTCAGGGGGTGAGGTTTACAACAAAGTTAAAAGTTTAATGAATTTACTTTTGTAAATGATGATGTAGACTGGATTACCAGGGGTGTTGTTTCCACTTTGTTGTGAGAGGAGATCATGAGACCCCTATGACCTGGTATATGGGACCCTGTAGTCTATACATCATCTTGGTCCCAAGTAAGCAGAGTTTATTTATTGTCTCTGACATCTGTTTGAGGAGTCTTTAGAAAGCATAGATTGTCCCTAAGCAGTCTGGGGTTGTATGTAAATTAGGTGTTGTTGAGGCTGGGCCTGAGTGCTCTGTCCTTTCTGGCTGTCTCTGGTCACAGGACCCCAGTACAATGGGAAGGCACCTCCTGCTGTCCCCTTCCTTGCTGGTGGACTTTTTGAAAAGTGAGATTCTGGAATTTAGTGTAGCCAGTGTTGGTGGACAGACATTCTGATTCAGGATTCTAAGGTCATGGGTGTCCCTAGAAAGGTCAGCATAGCACACATGTAGCTTAGTCCTTAGCCATTGTTTCTTACCAGAACCATGGGCTCAGCTCCTGTCTGATGCTTAAGCTTTGCTCTGAAGGAGCCTCTTGCTCTTGCTTGCTTGTGCATTTCCATCTCTGACATGTACTCGGTGCTCATTTCAATATTTAGAGATTTGTGAGAAAGGGGAACACTCCGATGAGGTTAAAAGTGGCCAAGAATGTGATCTGTGGGTGATTGCTGCAGGTCTGTAAGACCTGGGACATCGAAGGGTGATCCTCCTGCTCTTTCAACTCTTTCCAGATTCCTGGAGGAAAGCAGAGAATGTGACAATAGGAAAAGCTCCTCTGTGTCTATACTTGTTATTGGCTTCTGGTCAGATCAATAAACTCATGACAAGGAACAGCTTGTCCTTTGACAAGTCTTTGGGTGTTCCTCAGGGGAATTGCTGATGTGGATTCTACAGTTCCACTTAACCTGTTAGGAATTCAAGTTGTGCCTGCTGGCAAGACTAGGGGGTTGAGGAATGACAGTGCAGAGAAGTCACCTTAGTCATCTCAGAGGCTGATGGACCTTCCACCTGGGAGCCTTGTCCCTGCCCATTTACTGAGTCAGCCATTCTTTCCATAGGTATTTGTGTGCCTCTTACTCTAATTCTCTAGGTGACAGGATGTGGTTGGTTTCTGTTACAAAATTGTGGCAGTGGATGATTCAGTGAGACTGTCACTAAGTGCAGTGTGTCAAAGGAATGCATGCATGTATTACCAAGACAAATCTTTCTGTAATAGCCTGATCATTTTGTCCTGTTCTACTTTAGACAAGCCCTCAGTGCCTCTCTGTATTCCTGTAACCTTCAATCACTTGATACCTGCCTGTCTTCATCCTCAGCATGTATTGATGCTTCAGTGTCTCATCTGGGCATAAAGGGATGCTCTATGCTTCTTCCCATCCTTAACTCTCTCCATTTTCTCAGATTCTGCTTCCTTCCTTCTCTCCCTCCATCTCTCCAGCATTGGCTAGTGTATCGAATGTTTTCCCACCTCCTCTCTCTATTCTTACCCATTTTCAACAAATGTGTCCTGACTGATAAACTCTGAAGTTAGGTGTAGGTTCTCCAGCAGTAAACATGGCAAACCCGACACCCACCCTTCAGTATAGTGATGCATTTTCTGCCAGGCTAAGAAGCAAACAAGAGCCTCAGCATTTTTTTTCCTCAGGCATAGACTTCAGGGCCTGTGTTAGATAGTTTCTCTCTGCTGTGACTTGAGTAAAGCAACAGAATGCTAGCAAGGAAGAATTTATTTTAGCTAATGAATCAAGAGATTTGTTTCATCATGATGGCAAGAACATAGTATAATCAAAGTGTTCAACTCATCTCCTCATGCAGGAAGTATAGGTGAATGTAATAGGAATGGACCAATACGAGGTATCACTCTCCAGTCACCTATTTCCTCCAATGATGCTCTATCCACCACAGTTCTACAACCTGGTAATCATCTGTCCAAACCATGAATGCACAAATGGCTTGGACCACTGGTTAGGTCAGAGACCTCACATCCTAACATCTCTAGAAATGTCTCACAGACACACCCAGAGGTGAGCTTGATGAATCTCTCAGACATCCTCAGAGCCATCAATGACTGGAATCAGACATCACAGGATGAAGGTGCTCCTGAACCACAGTGAACATGTCCTTGGTGTGATCACATGCACATGGACTTCATTGTCCTTCTGGAAAGTTCTACTGTCTAGTTTTAGTTCTCATAAGTTCTTAAGCTTCGGAAATTAGGGTTGTCTGGAATTTTTATTTTTATATTTTCCCAAGGGATTTCCAATATTACCCTCAAGAAAACCTGCTAGTGACCATATCCCATGCTGCAGATTCACAAGCCTATTTACAGTTATAAGTGAATAGCAAAGTTTTAGAATCATGAATATGTTATATTATGTGTTTATACATATTTAAATAAATATTTATATGCCTATTACATATTAAAACATCATGATAACCTATTTTTTATAGTGCCATCCTTTGAATCATGGTTCCAGAGCATTCTCTACTGTAGCATTCTCTGCTGACCATGTCTGGACTCCTGCCCTGCTTTCTACATTGTACATCTTACATTTCATGCTTACTCTAACTGGATACTAATAGTTAAGTCATCTCATCTAGCCTCAGCTCTTAAAATTATTATGTTTACTTATATGTATATGGGTGTTTTGCTTGCATACCATCTGCACACCATATGGGTGCGGTACCTACGTGGGCAGGAAGGGTGTCAGATGCTCTGGAACTGGAGTCGCTGATGATTGTGCACTTCCATGAGGTCACTGGGAATCAAACTCAAGGCCCATGCAAGAGCAATAGTTATTCTTTTTTTGTTGTTGTTGACTATAAGTTTATTATAAGGCCCAGCAGAGTAGGGAGACTAAGAAGAGGAAAGGAATAGGGATAATGGCTGACCGCCATAGCTGGTCGCCACAGAGAGAGCGCATAGGTGAGAGAGAGAGGAGAGAGGAAGCAGCGAGGAAGCAGAGAGAAAACAGAGAGGAAACAGAGAGAGGAAGCAGAGAGGAAACAGAGACTAGCAATAATTATTCTTAACTGCTGAGCTATCTATACAGCTCTGGTATTGAGCTTTTAAAATCACAAAAATAGAGAACCACAGAGATAGGTTAGGTGCTTGCTGCCAAGACTTAAAGCTTCATTCAATCACCAGTACAATGTAGTAGGAGGAAAATATTGGCTTCCACATTTTTTCTTCTGACTTCCAGATACCTGTAGTGATACACACACAGATACAGACATAGACACAGTTTAAATAAATTTAATAAAAATGAAATCAGATAATTGCAATACCATTTACTTGCTATAAACTTATCCTTTTTTTTAAAGGTGGTATATGTTCTATAATTTGGCAGCTATTTACTGTCTCTTAATCACCACTCTTTTTTTAATTTAAATTCTTTAATTACTACTCATATTCAAATATCCATCCCCCCAATCCCTTGCCC